GAATTCTTATGTTCCATTTCACAGTTCATGGAATGCTGCTAACTTAGAGAGGAGCAGGGTTCAAACTGGTGTAGGCACCACCAGGGTCCAGACACTTCCCGTGAGACCTATAGACAAGGACTGTTTTAAGGGAACCAATGTCTAGATCTCTCACCAACTTTCTTTCATATGCTCTGTACATACTTGGGTATGCAAAACTCATGTGTCTGAGGTCAAGGCGTGGTGGATCTCCTTTCCTTCCACAGTTTTGGTCATGCAGTCCTCAGCCACAAGGATCTTAATGGGATATAGTGTGGTTGCACCTACCCAAGATGTCTCATTAACATGATGCAAAACCTCCCATTCAAACAAAGGAACAATGTGAAACTCAGTGGCAATGCCTTTTTAATCAACCACTACCCATCTCATTTAGAGGTGCATTTCCAGTAAAACTTTACTTTTCATGTTTAGCATTTATCAAAATTTTGGTATTTTAGATAATGCCCAAAATAATTCAAATGATAACTCACTCCAGAAAAAATTTTTAATGCATAGAGATTTATGGTTGCTAGAATCTTCTTTTACTTAATTTTCAATTTATATACACACACACACACACAAACACACACACACACATACATATATATATATCCTCTGGTTGTAGAGAAACATGTTGAATTGATCAAATATTTTCAAGCATAAAAATTAATATGGGGCTAGCCCCATGGCTTAGTGGATAAGGAGCTAGAGTACATATGGCTGACCATTAGTTCAAATCCTGGCCCCAACAGCTTGAAAAACATGCCTGGCCCAGGTGCATGTGCCCCAAATCCTGAAAAGTTGGAGAAATAAAAAAGAAGGAATTTCAGCATGACCACACCCCACAGAGGGGTGCTTTCTCCCTTTCCTCCTCACTCTCATCCTCTGGAACAATCTTTTTAGACTTTTCTTTTTTTTTTTGAATGTGTATATACATGAAGGACCAGCAGTAACACAGTGCTCTCTGAGGCTGGACCAATATGGGAGTTCTCATCCCAAGACCTCCCAGTGCATGCTGGGCACACACATGTTCCCACAATCCAGGCTGGTTGAGTTGGGAATGGAAAGTGGCATGAGGACCCTTTTAGGGTGCATCTCACCCTGTCCTCACTCTCTCCTTTTTTTCTCTCTCTTTGTGTCTCCCTCTCATGTAAAGATAAAACAATCATGTGTGTGTATGAAAAAAGAACATAACATTTCCAACTTTTAAAGAAGACTTGCATGGGCCATCTTTAAGTGGACAGTGGTAGGTATTATATGACAATGGCACCTATGTTAAATTGGACATATTCAAATAATGATTTAACAGGTTGATTTGGAAATGTCACTATTTAAATATCTCTAATAAAAAGTATATATTTCCTAACTATTTAACCTAAAGTTAAATAAAATACTCACTGTTAAGTTTTTTAAATATGCAAGGAGGGGGGCCCGCAGGTGGTATAACAGTCATGTCACTGGACTCCCACATGGCCCACCACAGTTCGAGTCCCAGAACCAGTGGCTTGAAACTTACTTGGCATGTATGCGTGCATGCCCAAGGCCCCAGGAGGAGAGCGGAGGAGAAGGCATTGCATCGTGACCATCCCTCTTAGGAGATGATTTCTCACTTTCCCTCTCACTATCTCTCTCTCTCAGTGAATACATGTGCCCTTGGGCAAAAACCTCTAGAAAAAAAATATCACAAGTAGGTACATAGTTTTTCAAAATTCCTACAGGGTGTATGAGCAGACGGTGCGGCAACCACTGCTGCAGAGAAGGAAGGCAATGCTGACGGCAGGAAGAGCAGGGTTTGGAATCAGGCTGGCAGGGGAGCCTCGGGAAAATGCCAGCTTAGGGTTCAACAGTGAGATGCCCGGCACAGAGTCAGCGTTTCCTTTATTCAGCCAACACCTGCCGTGTGCTGCCAACCCACACGGCGTGGGGGAATGTCTCACGCGCTGACATCCCAGCGCACACAGATGCGGTGGTCTGAGGCTTTGTATAAGCGCATGCTTGCTGCCTTTCTGGAGAAGATCTTGTTCTCAGGCAGTTAGTACGGCCTGTGACTACAAAGCAATGACTCATGTTTTGGTTTTCTAGAACAGATCATCTCCCGTCCATCTTTCCTTTTAGAACAACCACCTGAAGAGGCATCGCTTATGTCAGTGACCGGCCATTACTCTGAAGTACATAAGCTTCTTCTGTGGAACTGACTTCAAAGTGTGCAGCGCAGGCTTTTGAACACCCTACTGCTTGTAAACATTTGTCTTTGGAGAACGAATTTGATTTTTCCTTTTTTGAACAAAGGTTATTTACACAAACATCTAGTGACCATGGTAGATGACCAGCCAGGGCAGGAATATCATCTGTCTCACACTCTGGAAGAGCATAGGTCAGGAAATCAGAGCTTCCTCTTGTAAAGAGTCAAGAGAGGCCATCAGTCCTGTTATTTTTTACATGATAATATTTCTCCTCTTGCCGCTGAGGCTGAAGGGAATATCCTGGCCACATCAGGGCCACTTGGCTGTGAGGTTGCTTAAAGATTTTGTAATCTCAGACTTTGGGGAGAGAACTTCCTGGGACAGGAGAAGCCCTCGTGTCCACTGCTTTGGTTCTGCTGGTCCCACTGCCACAAACCCTTTCCAGGCCGTGCCCATTAGGGAACTGCAGCTGGATGAGACCCTGGGACAGAAATGATACGGGTGCACCCGGGGCTAAGGGGGCCTGGTAGACCAGCCGTAGAGGACATACAGGGCCTTATTTACATCATCGCTGAGTGTTTATTGAGTCTGTGTCTGTGAGGCCAGAGTGTCCGGGGACTAATCGCTGTCTGCTGAAGGAATGCGTCCAGAGTGAGCAGAAGGGGTAGGATACAAGTTGTGGAGGGGCTGGATAAGAAAAACAGAAGCCAGCGTGTATGGCCATCTGTCCACTCGGCCTGTCATATCCATCACGCCCATGTGTTCATGGAACACTGAACAAAAGGGATTCTTTGAGACCCTCAATTCACAATGGTGTGCACTGTATATTACTACCTTCTTGTTCTTCTGCAATAGTTTCCTGGTGTTTTCTTCAGACACCATTTCATCCCTGTGCCCAGACCAGCATAGGTACTGTGGGGGTCATTGTTTCTGTCCTCAGACAACTGGAATCTCCTCAGGGAGACAAGAGTAATCTACATACATGCTTAGAGTGAGGCTGGAGGGTGGGGTCCATTCAATTGTCACCCCTAGCTAATTGGTGGCTGTGTAGACTATTTCATCAAAATTAAGACACTGTCTATGGTAAAATGCCATTTTAGGTATTTTTTGTTTTGTTTTATTTTTGAGAGATTTTTGCTATAGGGTGCATGTGTTCACCGGAGAGACAGAAAGTGAGAAATCATCCCTCCAGGAGAGATGGCCGTGCCATAATACCCTCTCAGGATTTGGGGCATGCACGCACACATGCTCAGCATGAGTTTCAAGCCTCTGGGTCCAGGACTCGAACCACTGTCAACCATATGGATGTTCAGCACCTTAACTGCTATGCCACCTGCTGGCCCAGTATATGCTTTTAATGAAAAAATTTTAAAAAGAAAAAGGGCCAGTCCTATAGCCTAGTGGTTAAGGGAGCCTAGCCTCAAATGGCTAATTGTGGTTCAAATCCCAGCTCCACAGTCTTGAAAACATACTGGGTGCAATGTGTGTGTACCCCAAATCCCAACATGATGGAAAAATGGAGGAGAAGGGATTGTGGCATGACCATGCCCCATTGCAGGAGAAGGTGCTTTCTCCCTCTTGCTGTCTCTCCCAGGTGAGCGCATGTGCCTTCTGGCAATTACAACAACAACAAAAAAAAAAGGAAAACAATGCCATCAATTAAATTATGAGCCATTACTCTCTTACTATGAACTTAGAGTTTTTATTTATGCCTACTAAAAAGATATCTTAGATTTATTTACACAGTGTTGTAGGCTGTTTTTTTTTTAAATACATATTGCTCTCATTCATTCATAAAGTGAAAATAACAGCAAAATTAATTGACCGTGGTCAAAACAAAAGGAAAACAATGCCATCAATTAAATTATGAGCCATTACTCTCTTACTATGAACTTAGAGTTTTTATTTATGCCTACTAAAAAGATATCTTAGATTTATTTACACAGTGTTGTAGGCTGTTTTTTTTTTAAATACATATTGCTCTCATTCATTCATAAAGTGAAAATAACAGCAAAATTAATTGACCGTGGTCTTCCTAAGCTTCTTCATGTACAGAGCACTCCTAGGCCGAAGCATTTTTGACTGGGAGTTATTGGTGTCTGCTTCCCACACAATGCCATCCTCCAAGCTGTCAAGAATGCTGGTGAGGCAGCATTTCTTACCGCATTTCTCTGTGGCTTTCTCCCACATCTCTGGCACCTGTTGTGTAAATTAATGTGCACACAGGTAATGACAAACACAGCACACCAGCCACCTGGCTACAGCGACTGTAAGACACATCCCAATTCCCGAGATCTCAAAAGTGAAAAAATAACATCTGAGACTCAATGAGATACGGGTTTTGAGACTCAGTCAAAAGGACCATCATAACCAACTATCCATTTCCTCCCTTGGAATGGGGTTGATACCAGCGCGACATCCTTCTCAGGAAGCAATCATTTGTTCCCATGTAGTTTTTGAAAATGAATGGGTTTCAGTGTGACAGCAGGTGCAGGGAGTCATCTGGAAGCCAGTAGAGTCAGGAAGGCCTTGTGCATAAAGCAGGTCTCATAAAGGTAAGATGTGGCCTGGGTAAGGACACCTCTTCCAGCAGAGGGAAGAGCATTAGCTCAGCCTGGAAAGTTCAAATGGGTAAACAAGCATGTCCTGTCGAGAGGAAAGTGGGGGTGGTTAGGGAGTTGTAGGCTATGAAGACGTGAGTTTTTGTGTTAAAAACCTAAGTTCACGTGAGCATGTCTTATTTGTGAAAATAAACAATTCTTGTATTTCTGTAACTTTTTTTTTCTTTCCTCACTATAGGTCCTGATGTTTTTAGTTCAAAGAGCCTTGCCCTTCAAGCCCAGAAGAAAATTCTGAGCAAAATAGCCAGCAAAACCATGGCCAACATGTTGATTGACGACACCAGCAGTGAGATCTTCGATGAGCTCTACAAAGTCACCAAAGAGCACACCCACAACAAGAAGGAGGCTCACAAGATCATGAAGGACTTAATCAAGGTGGCGATCAAAATCGGGATCCTCTACCGGAACAACCAGTTCAGCCAGGAGGAGCTCGTTATTGTGGAGAAGTTCCGGAAGAAGCTGAACCAGACCGCCATGACCATCGTCAGCTTCTATGAGGTGGAGTACACCTTCGATAGGAATGTACTCTCCACGCTCCTGCACGAATGCAAGGACCTGGTCCATGAACTGGTGCAGCGACACCTGACGTCCAGGACCCACGGGCGCATCAACCATGTCTTCGACCACTTTGCCGACGTGGAGTTCCTCTCCACCCTCTACAGTCTGGACGGAGACTGCAGGCCCAACCTCAAGAGGATTTGTGAAGGAATCAATAAGTTGCTAGATGAGAAAGTCCTTTGAATGCCTTCCCTCCTCCTGGACTTGGCTGCTTTAAAGTCACTGCACCCATCATGGTCTGGGGAGAAGCAAGAAAAGAAGCTGCAACCCTTGTTGAAGAAGTCAATGTTTTGTCGTCTCTATCCCACCGAGGCTGATGCCCAGCCAAGCGTGGGTGTGTTTAATCCCTTGAGTTCTCTGATAAGGTCTGTACTTAAAATCACCTGTCTTTGCAAGCCCAGAGGCCACTTCAGCTACTCAAAGCAGGAAGTCTGTTTTGCCCCTTACAGTAAACTCCACTCAGCTCATGGAGGAGAATGAGCCCTGGACCAGGACCCAGAGAACATGGGTTCAGTTCCCAGATTCACCAGTGACAACTCTGTCCTCTGTATGCTGGAGCGTGATGCCTGTCTGCCTACCTCACAGGGCTGTGGTGAGGATCGAAACAGATACTGTCTGTCCCTGCTTTTGAAAACCCTCATGGAAGCCCTTTATATGTTCTCTTGTGAGTATGAGAGGGATAAACTTGGATCTAGACCATTAAGCAACATGTAAGAAAGGAACAAGAGAATCTACTGGGCTGGGTTTGCATTCTGTCTCTCAATGTGCTGTTTGCAGCAAAATGAAATCCAAAGGTGTGAAAAAGTACACTTGCAAATTGGGAAAATGTTTTACAATGTGTTTTTTAGGTCTTAGATGTGCAGGTTTCTGATCCTGTGGAAGGAAACTCCGTGGAGGGTGGGGAGAGAAGTTCCTACCTATAACACAGGAGCGGAGAAGCACTCTGCTCCCCCTGCAGGACCAGCATCTAAGGGGCGCCATCCGCGGGGCACAGAGAGGCTTTATTCTGGCATGCATGGGAGTCCGGCAGAATGAACCCCTCACCATCCTTCTTGACCTTTTACAGTCATTTGTGCTATTTTCTCTGGTTCGTTAATAAATCGAAACTACCCTTCAAACAAGAGGTCTTGGCGTTGTGATTCAAAAAAGAAATTCCTAGGGCTCACTCCATGGAACCGCAGTAATGCACTACTCCAGAGACGCTGGACCCCACATGGCAACCATGGTTCAAATCTTGGGCCTTGTCAGCCTGAAACACCCCAAGCATGCACGTGAGTACCCAGGACCCGATAAAGCTAAGGACGGAGGGAAGGGAATTATGGTGTGACCAGGCCCTGGAGAGGGTGCTCATCTCTCTCTCTCCCTTTTTCTCCCTCTCTCTCATTGTCTCCCACTCTTATGTGTGTACATGGGCTCATACGCCCTTTCAGTAATAACAATACTTAACAGTTTAAGAATGATGGAATTGAAGGGAGAAACAAAGAGCAGGACCTGCCTATGTGCTCAGACCTCGGGGGACAGAGCCCCAGAGGAGCACAGGTGGGGGTCCAGGTGCTAGTCAGTGGTGAGCTGGTTCCCTGCCTCACTTTCAGTCTGTGACTTCTGTCGTCCTGTCATCATCATCTTCGCCATCATCAGGACTATGTTCTTATAACACTGTGCCACGTTGAGATCGCTCCTTCTGCCCCGCCCCCCGACCCACACTTCTCTCGTATCTGATGACAATGCCACACTACTGTAGCTCAGACCCACGGTTCTGTCCACCCCCTGGTTTCCCTCCAGCAGGAGAATTAAGTGATGGTTTGTGGGAGAGTGTGACATGGCGTTCACCAAGCCTGAGCTGACCATCAGCCTCGACTTGCTCCCGTGTCAACATCAGTGCTAACCCTCCAGCTGAGTGTCTCAGCCACGGCACCCAGAATTAGCTCACTAAAAGGATAGCAAGCACGGAATGAGGAAGAGTTAAGTCCGCCTCTGCTCTCCATATTTGACAAACATGGCCTAGCCCCCTTCTCAGATCCTAGGCTGAATGATGAAGTCCCGTGCACACCGGAGCTGGCGTGGCTGCCGATCCTTGGCAGTGCTGGTGGGAGCTGAAGGCAGCTTCCTCCCCGCCTGCTGCTAGGCATCAGTCCAGCAGTAACTGGATTTTCACTCATGCAGAGTCCTCAAGGCTTGCCTTAGGTACTCCTCTAATTAAAGCACTGCTTTCTAGTTCAGAGATGGTTCTAGAAGTAGGTTCATTTTTCATTAAGTAAATGGATATTTGCAGAGGACTCAGACCCAAGAAGAATGAGTGAAACTGCTTTATCTCCTTGTGCAATACAGTGGGGAAGAAGAGGCAGGGTAAAATTGCCAAAGAAGCCAAAGAAGATTGCAGTTCTGCCTGCTCCACGGGGTGCAGCTCAGCATTGGTGGTACGAGAAGGCCGAGTTGGGTTCTGAGGGCCCACGGGTCTCCGAGGAAATTGCATCCTTCCTGCTCTGGTCAGAGAAGGGTCGGAACTTTTACCAGCAGGTCTTGGCAAGTACAACAGCAAAGGGTGGACTGTAATATTTTCTGGCGCCGTAGGCTCCCCAACTGAGGGAATCGGTAGGCTCTCTGCTATAAGGTCATGGGGTACCGTGACCTCATAAAAAGCTCCCAGGGGGATGGTGAACTCACAAATTGTGCTTCTGCCCCTCTAAAAATATGAGCCACAGGCCAGCAGATGCCATAGAGGTTAAAGTGGCTGGATCTCACATGGCCAGTTGCAGAGTTCAAGTCCCAGACCCAGCAGCTTGAAAAACGTGCCATGCGCGTGTGCATGCATGCCCAAAATCCTGAGAGGAGAATGAAGGAGAAGGGATTGCAGCATGTTTATTCCCCCCCGACCCATGGGGTGCTTCCTTACTTTGTCCCTCTCTCAGTCTGTCTCTGGTAAATGCACATAGCCTATCACAAACATTTAAAAAAGAGAAAGAAAACACAGAGCCGAACCCCATGCTATGTGTCCATTGGCATCTAAATTCAAGGAGTTCTTGAATGTCATCAAGCAGCTGGAAGGACTGCAGATTTTAGATATTTTACATAACAGCCTAGTGACCAAAGAAAGATTTCTCATTATGCAGTCATATTGGTTTATCTTGAGAACTCTCTACTTAATGGCCCTGAAAAGCTGTTTCTACTGGGAAAAATTAAAAACTGTGACAGAGACCAGCAGATGCTTTTGAAAGCAGATCTCTCTGTAGCTGTGCATTTCTGCTCGGAACTCTCTACAAAACTTTCAACAACGAAAGCCCACTGAAGCAAAGTTGGACTATCTGCACTTAGGTGTCACCGATGACAAAGGCTATCATTTGTAAAAACAATGGAAAAGAAAACTAATTTTTAAAACAGCAGCAGTACAGAGTCATTCCGTTAATCAAGCCCCACAGAGCAATGCTTGGTTCAGCAAATCAGGTGCAGAGACGTGACTCATTCTTTAAGGGTGAGGTGTGGCAGACGCAGCTTATATGAAATGTCTGGGGATATCACTGGGCCTTCAACCATCCCTGAACACTCAGTTCTGTCCCCACGGGAGGACCAGGGACTTGTGTTGAAATTCCCAGCCTGCCCCTCAGCACAGGTCCTTCCTTGTGTGTCTGAACCCTGCAGAAACATTTCCTGCTGGCCCCACCTGCCATGTGTCTGTGTTGCTCTCCCTGTGTTTGCACCTGTGAGTCTTGACACCCTTGGTAACTCCGGGTCTCTGCTCAGTGTCGAATCTAAATGAAAAGACCTCTCCATCTGTGCTTCTCTAAACTCCCGTCTCTCCCATCTGTACACTTCTCAGAAACAAATCCGTTCATTCATTGGCTGCTCCAGAGAACTTCCTGCCTCCAACTGCCCATTAAAAAGAACGTAGCACAATGGGACCAGCAGTTGGCATAATGGCTATGTCACTGGACTCCCACTTAGTCGACCGCGGTTCACATCCTGGACCTGGTGGCTTAAAACTCAGGCCGAGTGTGTGTGTGTGTGTGTGTGTGTGTGTGTGTGTGCCCAAGCTCCCGAGAGGAGAATGGAGGAGAGGGGATTGTGGCGTGACCATCCCCTCTGGGGGGTGATTTCTCGCTTTCTATCTCTCTCTCTCTCTCTCTGTCTGGCGAGCGCATGAGCCTTATAGCAAAAACCTCTAAAAAAAAAAAAACGTAGCACAAAGCAAGCCGACCTGCCCTCTGTTTCAATATCTTTGAGGGTTTTTATTTTTTTAGTTCGATGTGATCCAGAAGAAAGTTAAAATACTCTGAGAGCCAAACCAACTTGGTGAACGTTCTAGATAAGCCAACGTTGTCTTAACTTTGGCTGTGGAGACATGGCGTTCGCAGGAGCTGGCCAACAGTGGGCGAGGATGTCGACGGTGGGCACGCATCACGTGGCCTCGCCCAGATCCTCCCAACTCCCAATGCTGTGTTCACTGGATTTCCCTTTGGTCCCACCCTGCTCTGTGAGCCACAGCCACCCTGGGCTAAGCCTTGGTCTTTCCTCAAATGGAGGTCTCGCTTGCTAGGGAAAAAGACCCTTCTACAAACACCATTTTGCAAAATAGCATCTACAAATCCCTGAAAGTCCTGAGGGTGGGAGAGGGGGCAGGAGTGAAGACCATGAGTCATGAAATGAGTTTTCAATTTGTTTCATTCCGACAACTTTGTTAGAAAAATTGAAATCGACGTAAGTACATTCTGACCTTATAGTCACGTTGGTGCCATCTGGTTTCAGAGGCTGTCTTTGTGTATAAATGCCGTGCATGCTGCCTTGAGTGAAAGAAGAGAATTTAACTCCATGTGTTGTTTCAGCTAGATCTAGGATCCCTGAGGGGTCTGCAGGTATAAACAGGGACGTGTGCTCGATTCTGAGAAACATTGCTACAACATATGAAAGTGGAGGCTTGCACAGGATGAGCGAGTGTCACCCTGCCCTTGACAGTGACTCACCTGTGGGAGCTCGAGGGCTGAGGGATGAACTAATGTCCAGGGGGACCGACGGGTCTGCGCTACTGTGCAAGCAGCAGGTTCCAACATGTCCCACCTACTCTACTCTTGGAAAACTAACCAGGAAAAGCCACCACGTACTTTAGGTCATCAGAAAAGTCAGGACGTGTTTTTCCTTTATTTTTTTTAAATAATTATTTTATTTAACTTTATTTATTTATTTATTTTTATTTGACCACAGAGGGACAGAGCAAGAAATCTAGAGATGGGGGTGAGAAAGCAAGCCACCAGATCGGGGATTCAAACCACAGTCAGTCATGTAGGAGTCCAGTGCCTTTAACCACCATGCCACCTGACAGCCCCTATGACGTATTTTTTCTATGTAAAAATGAGTCAGGATTTTTACAACAACCCAATCAAATCAAAGAATTGACCATCCCATCTGGAAACCCCAATATTTAATCTCAAAGGCACAAATATGTCCATGCTGGACAAAGCGGGCACTGTTCCTCCCAATGAAGGGAATAAAGAGCCACGTGTGGAAAAGTCACCTGCCCGTGCTCACTCGCCTTCCCAATTCCAGTCTCAACTGCTGGGCTGCAGGCAGAAGTCCCAGGCCTTAGGAGAGATTATGTGGTTCCGGAATCTCAGGAACTCATTCTTGAAGAACAAGCACATGGCAGTCAGATACTGGTGGTGTTGAATTCCTCCCAGTCCCCCAGCCCCCGTGAAATAGGGAAGGCCAGCCACAGCAGGTACTCCCCACCCCCAGCAGCAGTTCGGCACCTTGCCTTTCCCTTACTCCTGCTTGCTTAGCCGAGCTGGGGCAGGTCTCTGCAGAGGGATGCCAGCAGCCCACCCAGGCAGCCAGAGCCCAGGCAGCCAGGCCTCCCAGGCCCTGATGTAGAGCTCCTCTTAGCTGCTGACCAAGGCAGTTCTGGACCAGTTCCAAGGACAAGGGAGTCTGGGGTTTGGCTCTCAGCTCAAGGAGGGGCTGGGTAGGCGCCAGAGCTTGGCACAGAGAGCTTGCTGGAGGCTAGCGAGGAAGTGGCAACCGGGCTCTGCTAGGGAGAGGAGCCCTTTTTCAGGCTGAGTCTGGTGAAGGAAGAACTTATGAACTGGTCTCCCAGGGAGCAATTTGGGCTTCCCTGCTGAGAGG